ACATAAAAGCCTTAATTTTTCTCTGATATATATGATCCTATGAATGTATGGATATGTTATATATATATAGAGATGTATATATGTTACATATATAAACAAGTTGTTTCCCTCATGGATATATCTCTCTGATATAGCTGAATCTATGAAGGCTTTATATATAAAACATATATAACACATATGACATATATGTAACACATATGACATATATGACATGGGACACATACAGGAGACACACCTGACACATATGATATACATGACACACATGACGTATATACGACACACATAACATATTTGACATATATATAACATATCCATACACTCATAGGATCTTATATATTATATATATATGTGAGGGAAGGAACGTATTTAGCTTTTGTAACTCTGTTTTTCCACCATGTGTACATAATATAGATTTAGAACAATATACATGAAGTGACTTACTTTTCATTTAGTGTAAAGAGCATTGGATACATCATCTCTCATGGACATATGGATTTGCAACAAACAGGATAGAATTACCTTTGTATTAAACATAAATTTGAACTAAGGAATATTAACTTGTGCAATGTCATAGAGCAAGCACAACTAAAATACAAGAAAAGGTCTGAAAATTGTGATCAGTTTCTCAATTTATGCATCTAATGGCATAAAATTATTCAATTTAAGGTTCTTCATAGAGAATTAAATATGTATTTGTGTTCTGGCTCTCTTTATATACAAAATAATAAAATTTTCATGTATTTACACCATAAACATTTGTATATATGTACAGGATACATACATTCCTATATGTATGTGTATATATATATGTTGAATATGCTATACAATTATTCATTTGTTTCTAGTGATTCTAAATCTCACTCTTTTAAAAAAATGTATGTTCACAGCTTAGTTGACAACATTAAATTCATTATTTTGGATACATTTAATTTAAGACATTTAATCCAAATTAAAAAAATTTTTTTCAAGTACTCAGGAAACTTTCTACATTGGAACAAGTTATGATAGTTAAGTGATCTTTCCTTCTGTCCTTAAGTAACATTCACTAAAAGTAGTGGTTCTTATTAATTTATTTTTGTTTTGTAGGAATACAAGTTTTCTGTTTTGAACAGTCACATTTATAGCTTTGAAAACTGCGCAAGTGACATAAATGAATCAACTATGGCAAATTCAGCAGTGCATTTTATCATTTAATTCAGCAAATGATAAAATTCACGGCTTTTGACTCCAAAGCCCAAGATCATTCTTATTAAGGCTGTGATCGTTCTTTGGAGATTTAGTCTCTGTTAAACACGAAAAAGTCTAAAGTCTGAAATATGCCAATCCTTAATTAAAAAGCGAATTTATTTTTCACTGAGGTAACTGAACTACATTTTCCCCAGGGTATCACTTAGAGAGTATCTTAGGAATTTAGAGAATAACAAAAAGTATCTCATGATCCAGAGGCTCCATTGAGCACAGCATTGAATTAAATCTACAGAATTGATCAGATCCTGCCTCCAACCCTCAGAATTCCACTGAAAACACAATCTTTATTCATTTCTACTAGACTATGTCTTTCATTTCATTAACTTCTTCATTCATTCAATAAATATTAATAAGTATGTTCCATGAAGCAGACACCATCCTTGGTATTGGTAAAATAGCCAACAAAATTAATTTTGTTCATTTCCTCTTGTATCTTACCCTCTGACATTGGTGAGAGACACCTGTTACAAAGTAATTTGAAAAAGTAAAACACAAAACTGTTTTTGAGCTACTAGGACTTACATGATCTGACTGTCTCTCTCAGAAGCTTCTTGATTGCTATTCTTTCCCTCCTTTAATTTTCTCTCTTCAGTCTACATATATTTGTCTGCTTGCAGTTCTTCTAACAAACGGAAGAGGATCTTGCCTTGGAGTCTTTGTGTTTACTGCATGTGTACACAGAAAACTCTTCCACAAACACTTATTTGGCATCATCCCTATCCAGGCATTGCTCAGATGTTTTTCAACAGAGACCCCATTTCTAACTCCACTGCTCCCTATTTTATTGCCTGCTTCATTTTTCGTCAAAACGCCATTTATGTTTAAGTGAAATGCACACACACATTCACACATGCATAATACATGTGACAGAGGCAATACATTTTCCCTCACTTAAATATAAGTTTGTTGAGATAAGGAACTTGGTTTTCTTACCTGTTGTATCTCCAGTATGTTACATGCCAGTTATTCAACTAATATTTTAATGGATTATGAGTAAAGATAGAAAAGTTGCCAATTTTCTTGTTTCAACACAAACTAAAGAAATATAATAGTAGTTTGGTGCAAAAATATTACAGTTTTTGCTATTTTGTTAAGTAGTGCAAAAATCTGCAATTATTTTTGCACCAAACTAATAGAAAATATAATCTGTGACTTAATATTGAGATAATTTTAAGTTAAAAGACATTAGTATGATTAGGAGGTATAGTCTCTTCTATTACAAAAGGTGTGATTATTTTACATATGTCTGAGTATCATAACTAAGAAGAGAAAACTAATTTCTTAATGCTTTCATGCATCCAACGTCACTACATGCCAGGTTGTTAATTAAATATATGAACCTGGAACTCAGGTGAGAGGTCAAGGCTAGAGACATAGATTTTGAAATCATGTCACAGTTCTTATGTCACTGAAGGATTGAGTGCAGGTGGAAAACCAAATATCGAAACTATGACTTTTACTCCAAGATGTGAAGGCCAGAATGAGCTGGAGAGAAACTTATAAATGCTAACTGGGAAAAAGTAGGAATGAAAGAAGGAAAAACGGAAGGGTGAGGTGATATAGAAACATATGTAGGGGTATATCAAGGCAGGTGGAGGAATTAATTGTGAAAAATCCTCCGAGATATCAAGTAAAAGTGAGACAGATAAGTGATCTTTGGATAAAATAGTGTTGAGGTGTCATGCATCCTTGACAAGTTTATGCACAATGGACTGATGAGACAGAAATATAACTGGAACATGTTATACAGTAAATAAATATGAGGAATTAGGGGCAATGAGTAGAGGTAGTTCTTTTGGAAAGATTAATTGTAGAGGGGAGTAAGGATCAATTAATATGTTGGTGACTGGATGGGACTTATGTCTGTGAAGAAGGGTGACACCAGAAAATATTTGTATACAAATGAGGATATTATGATAGAATTTGAGATACTAATGCTTGGGGACAGAAGAGTTATAATTTTACAAGTAAAGTCCAAGGAAAGCTCCAAAGACATGAAAGAGCTGGTCTTAGGTAGAAGCAGAGATACAGTATTCATTATGACATGAGGGAAGAAAGAGGGTATTCATAAAAATTTAGAGGTGGGGGGGATAATCATATCTTTTTTTGCAGGATGAAGCATGAAGAAAGTTCAGTAACAGAGTAAAGTGATGATGAATTCTCTCTAATTTGTATTAATCAGGTTAAATGGAGGACACATAAAAGAAACAATTCCGTTTAACTAAGTATCAGACAGATGAACAGAATGGAGGGAAGGAGGAGCCATGGAATAGAGCATATTGATAATGTGTCATTATGTGAGAAATCACAGAATCTCAGCTGGGTAAAGAGTGAAATGCCGACATAAGACAGTGAGGAATAACGACAAAGTACAACGGTCCTTGGAAAGTGATTTTTTAAAAAAGATAAGGGATAAATATGACAGCAGATGAACCAGAATAAAAGGAAATACGAAAGAGAATGCAAGCTCTGATACAGTTTTGGATGCATTTGAGAGAAAGCTCAGTTAACATTTGAAAGTGGAAGCTATGGGGATATGACATGAGAGGACTCTTCCAAGTGGTCAGGATGAAATGGTTTTTCCTTTTTGGTCTCGAATAAATTTTTCAAGAATGAGGTGGTCTCAACCACAACACTCGAAACACTGATGTCTCTGTCATGGTCTATAGTGGATGGTGGTATAGAAAGAAATTAGAACTAGACTTTGACCTAATTCCAAACCATTACTCAGACTTCCTTCAACAAGTCATTTCATCACAGAAGGCTTTCGTCTCATTGCTCCAACATTGAGAGTTTCCTCCTCACTACAATAAGCAATACAGATAGAATTTTCTTTGATAAGTTTACTGAAAACTATGTGAACGCTTAGGAGGAGCAGAGATAAAATATTAAAGTACCTTGATTACTGCCAAGAAAATATTCTGATTAATTCAAAATTCAGTAAAATATTCCCCTATTATTGCTGTGGTTCCCACAATATCATAATTCCTGATAAGACTTCTTATTTGGTACTTGTTGACATACTTGTAAGTAGTGTTATTATTTATTATGAATGCTGTGTCACGCTACCCAAATTTGCCTCTCAGGTTGAAGTTTTCATTTACCCAACTTCCAGCCATATAGGCAACTGACAGCTGATAGCTGACCTACACTGCAGGAATTTCTCCTGCTGAAGGGAATTACCTTGTCCAAGATAATACCCCTTCCCAGTGGGTGACCCATATCCAAAAACTGGCTGTTATGGAGGTACAAATACTTGTTTCTTTTTTCTTAATTTGGGGCATCTCTGAAGGACATATCTGCTCCAGAACGCCATGTAAGAGTGGTTGAGTCTTCATCACAATTAAACTCCTTCGGTCCAATCCTGCTTCCCTCACTATGTAGATATTGTTTGTCAAAACACTCTCTGATAAACTTTCTGCATTAAAATGTCTGTCTGCCTCAGCCTGTTTGCCCAGAACTAAAAGACACCAATGAATCCATAATAAAATTCAGATTGAGGTAAGCTTAATAATTAAATTAAAATGTAACCCCAGAATAGCCAATTCCAAGTGTTTTGATTCTTTTTCCAGGCCCAACTTTTACCTGCTGTATTGATGCATCAGAGGGACCCATGTGTATATACATATACATGATATTAGGATATTAAAAAGTATACTTCATTTTAAATTACCTACTTTAACACGGAGAAACAACTTAAACAATCAGAGAATACAAGTAACATGAAAATGTATTTTCTTCTACATAACAAATGAGGGGTAACATGTCTTTACAAGACGTGTTTCTGTAAGATCTTTTTTAGAGCCTGTTTTACATCCTTATTTTTTAAACTATAGATGAGGGGATTTAGCATAGGGATTATTACTGTATAAAAGACAGAGACCACCTTGTCTTGCTCCATTGAGTAGCTAGATGTAGGGCGCAAGTACATGAAGAGAATTGTCCCAAAGAATATGGTGACAGCCATGAGGTGAGAGGCACAGGTGGAGAAGGCTTTGTGCCTTCCCTCTAGCGAAGGCATCTTCAAGATGGCAATGAAGATACACAGGTAGGAAATGAGGACAATCGTAACACAGCTGATGACATTAAAGCTGGAGAAAGCCATGATCACAATGCCATTGACTTGGGTATCGGAGCAGGAGAGTTTGAGCAGTGGTGGGCTGTCACAGTAGAAATGGTTGATCCTATTAGAGCCACAAAAGGACAATCTAAAAGTCATCCCTGTGTGTATGGCAGCATTTCCAAAACCTGCTAGGAATGAGGTAGCTATCAGCAAGAAGCAGATTCTCCCAGACATGAGAATTGGGTAGAGCAGGGGGTTCCAAATGGCTGCATAACGGTCATATGCCATCATGGCCAACAGAAAGCACTCAGTCCCCAGGAAGGAACCAAAGAAGTAGAACTGGGCAGCACATCCATGAAAAGAAATGGCCTTATTCTCAGCCATGAGGTTCACCAGCATCTTGGGAGTGATGGAAGAAGAGTAACAGGCATCCACAAAAGAGAGGCTACTGAGAAACAAGTACATGGGGGTGTGGAGACCAAGATCAATCTTAATCAATACAATCATCCCCAAATTGCCCACCATGGTTGCCACATAGATTAACAGAAACAATGCAAAGAGGACCCCTTGTAGATCTGGATTCTCGGAAAGTCCTAAGAGGAGAAACTCAGTCACTTCTGTTTGATTTCTGCCTCGAATCTCTATCATATGTCTCATCCTTTGAGCTGCAGTAAGTCAGAAGATGTAAAGTGGAATTAGTCAGATGAATATGTGATGGAACTATAATGTATTTTTAGTAAAACATAAATTCTAACAGAAGAGCAAAAAGTGAAAAGCATATCAAAGGTATGCTGGATTTGATGTCAAATCCAAAGACTTGTATCTTGGTACTAGGTGTGCTACCTACTAAGTAATGACTAAAGCAAGTGATTTAGTATCTATTAACTGTGGTCATTCCTAGAGTTGACTATTTACTGAATAATTAAAATAACTGATTCTTAAGATGTGAGTGCCATAATTACTTGTGATAAATAAATTAATTTATATATTGACATACCCTACAGACACAACATCTGGAGGAGGATAATAGAATGAATTCAGGCCACTGATTATTCTTCTGCAGTACTAATAGAATGAATAAAAATATCGGAAGTTAACAAAATTAATCAATAGTACTGGACAAGAAAAATAGTTGGCAGGGCATGGTGGCTCACAACTGTAATCCCAGCACTTTGAGAGTCCAAGGCAAGGCAGATCACTTAAGCTCAAGAGTTCCAGACCAGCCTGGGCAATGTGACAAAATCTTATCTCTACAAATTTCCTTTTTTAAAAAGCAGCTGTGCCTGATGACTCATGCCTGTGGTCTCAGTTACTCAGGAGTCTGAGGAAGGAGGATTGCTTGAGTTGAGGAGTTCAAGGCTGCAGTGAGCAGGAATTGTGTCACTGCACCACTCCAGCCTCTGCGATAGAGCAAGATTTTGTCTCAAAAAAGAAAGAAAGAAGGAAAGAAAGAAGAAAGGAAGGAAAGAAGGAAGGAAGGAAGAAGGTAGGTAGGGAGGGAGGGAAAGAGAGAGAGAAAGAGAGAAAGAAATGAAAGAAAGAGAGAAAGAAAGATTGAAAGAGGAAGAAAGAAAATGAAAATGGTAAACTGCTGAATCTCTTGTGGTAGAGGAATAACTTAAAAAATGTCTGGTCAAATAAGGAAACATAGAGAATATTCCCACACAGCCAGTACAGTTCAAACCCCTTTCTGATTTCTCAAGATAAATGTCTACAGAGAACAGAAAAGGTTCAGTTAAATGGTAATTTTCCATGATTCGGTCCAGCATTTAGAGCATCAGATTGTAAGAAGGAGCAGGCACTCCTGATAAAAAATGGCAAAAGTAACCGAGGCACTGAAAATCTCTAATACTCAGATTCACAAGTTCTCAAGAGACCCAAAAAACATCAGTGGAGCACATTCAACTTTTCAGTCAGCCTACTCTGAATCAGGAAAATAATTTAATACCAAGTAATCAAAATGGAAATAAGAGTTACCCTTTGCCAGGTGTAATGAAGGCAAATATGAGACAAGAAAAGTAAAAGAAATAAAAAAGAAAATTCAGAATAGATGCCCAGACTAGATCTTCCAAATCAGAGTTTAAACACCACCAGTGGAATTCTTCTCCCTTTAACTCAAATACCCCACCCCTTCCGTGATCTCAGATTATTGACCAAAAGTTTAAACTTTACAAGGCTGACTGTCAAAGCATAGCTCAGAAGGTAAGACAGAGGTAAATTCTTTACTATTCACAGAAGGAAGTTATTTGATACTGCCTAAATTAAAACATGGGGTCAGAGTCACCCAGTATCTTGCTAACGTTGAAGATAAATAAGTTTCTGAAAAAAGTGAGGGAAACAGTGGGCAGGACCTGGTTCTATTATAACAGACAGTGCCAAAGACAGAGCACCTATTTATGTTGGGCTCTACCTAATTGACGTGGAGATAGGGGTTCAATATCCTGATCAATAACTAAAGCTGACATTTTAATAGAATTCCATAACAATTTCAAAAAGTGTCATTGCACCCATTATCTTATATAAACCTTACCACAAATCAGTGAAAGGAATGATCAGGTAATATCTCAAGAGTACATGTGATATTGTCTTTTGTTAGATGAGACCAGCAAAGTGTGGGGGTTTCTCATCCAATCAGTGGTGAATCCTGAGCTACAGTGTAGGTCTCTTGAGGCTAAATCTTTTGCTGTTCTTCAGCACCACATTGCCTCCATCTGTCTCTCACTGGCATAGATACATAGCCTAGGTCCTCTTCCTTGAAGTAAACTTGCTGTTTGAACTTCAAATAACAGCATCTTCAGAAGAAATGAAAAAAAAAATGAATGGATCTTTCTTCTCTCATTCTCAAACAGGAAGTTTCTCTGAGAGCATTATTTTAACAGAAATAGTGCACAGAATAAAATGTCTTAGATGTGCTGAATGTACAAAATAAGTAATGCTGAGTAAAATATAAGTATTGAAATCCTCAACTAAAATCTGTTGAGGACTTATTACGCTCTACAAGCACTTTATTAAGTGTTTTGCCCGTACGGTTTTATTTAAATTCTATATAACAGGCATTTATCATCCCCTTTCTGCAGATGGAAAATGTAAGGTAAAAGCGATTAACTTGTCCCCTGTCTTTTGGGCTTTCAGAGTTAGCCTAAGAGTCTAAAGGTATACCCAGCCAATGTAACTTTCATTCTCTTAACAATTGAGGCCATTTAGAATGGCCCTGTCAATAATAGATGTGAACACTAACACACAAAGCCCTCAATATTGTAATTCCCAGATGCTTATTAATACTCTGCAATACATTTAATTAAATAAAAATGTCATGTCTCCAAAGAGAAAATATAATTACAGTTGAAGAAAATTCTCTTTCTTAGAACTCACATGTATTAATCAGCAAGATAGCAAAATATTGTTTGTTTTACATCTTATGGTGTAAATAACATGTTTCTGTCTCCCTCTCTATTCCGATTAACATTTTTCCTCTTCTATGCATTATTTCTGCAGGCTCTGCTGAGATTTTTCAGTCAACTCTTTAGCCCAGAGATTCTTTAGCCAAAGATCTAGGCTCTCAATTTCTAAGAGTTTCTAAAAATAATATTAAAGTTACATGAGATATTTCTTTTATTTAAAAAGGCTTTAAAATAATCTTATTTATTGCTGCTTATATTTTTCCTAATGGCTTATACATTTGGTAATAAAGTAGTACATAGAGTATTTATTTAACATTCTTTTTTAGCCACTCAGTGCTCTGGGAACTTTGTGTTGAGAAGTGATTGAGGAAATTAACAGGATTCTGAATTTTTCTCCATGACAGTAAGTTACATGGACAGAACCCTTTATATCTCTTGTCTTACCTTTAGTAACTGATTTTCGTTTGATCCCTTTGCTTGCTCCTGTCCAATGCTTAAATTCACTGAAAGGAAAGCAGAAAAAAAAATAAGAGAAATCCTTCTTCTTAGAGGAAGTATTCACTCGCTAAGTCTCCCAAGGTTAGCGGGAGGTATAGCTGGAACAGACTCTATAGAAAACCTGTTAAAGAAGTAGGAAAGCTAAAACTGTTCACCCCTTCCTTTGATGTTACTCTGCATTCAGCATAGACTGAGTCTTTCATTCTTTTACTTTTCCTTAAAGATAACATTGCAATATTTTATATCAGGGTAAAACACATTTCAGTATACAGAGTGTATGGCTGGAGTGCAGCTGTCATATCAATTGCAGTTTATTTCAATGGTGGAGTCTCTAGAATTGACTCTGGAGTAAGCATCCTAACTTAAGCAAAATATATTTCTTGTTACTTGATCTCCAGAGACTGTGTCTCTCATGTCACCTCATTATTATCTGCTTATTTTTCCCCTCTGAAGTTAAGGAGATCACAGGTCTTTTTCATGTTTCTCTCCTTTATTCTTGGGACACCCGGGTCCAGCAGAGAATGCATTTGAGTCCCATATTCCTAACCACCATGAATCACTTTTCTTCTGTCACCCCTGATAGCTGGAGGTTTGCTCTTGGGAGAATCAGCAGAATCCACAAAATAGCAGAGTAGCTCCACTGTGGCCCTGTCTTCTCTAAGTGTACATGTCAGCAGTGGTGCTACCTAGGTAATGGTGAGGGAGGTAGAGAAAACAGGAAGCTATTGGCTTGGAATCCTGACTCGGTGTCTGTCTGATTGTGTGACTTTGGGCATTTCACTAAACCTTTTTGTGTCTTAGCTTTTTCCTTTCTAATGTCTACCTTATAGGGTGACTCTGGGAGATAAAATAATTTAACAAATGTGAATTGCTGCATCCAATACATATAATAATTAACAAATGAGTTTCCCTCACCCTTACTTTCTTCTCCACTCTCCAGAGTAAAAAATAGTTATCAGTGACCGGGTGCAGTGGCTCATGCCTGTAATCCCAACACTTTGGGACGCCAAGGCAGGTGGATCACCTCAAGTAAGGAATTTGAGACCACCCTGGCCAATATGACAAAACCCTGTCTCTACTAAAAATGCATAATTAGCCAAGCATAGTGGTACACACCTGTAATCTCAGCTACTCAGAAGGCTGAGACAGGAGCATCACTTGAACTCCAGAGGCGGAGGTTGCAGTGAGCCAAGATCATGCTACTGCACTCCAGCCTGGGCAACACAGTGAGAATCCATCTCAAAAAAAAAAAATTGGTTATTAGCCTATCTAGCCTAGACTGAGACATATAGGATGCTCTATTGCCCCAAAATATCTTCCATATAAAAGACATAGAGTCTGAAATAAATTGATCAATATCTAATGATCATTTACATTGTTTATGCTACTTTGAGAAGACACTTTAATTAATCCATCTGTTAGTATTATTTAATCAATGCAATTTGCATTAAATTCTGAGAGAAAAAGACTTTAAAACTGTGTTGTTTATGTCAAGCAAATCAGAGAAGAAACATTTGCATTATTTTGATTAAGTATTAACCTTCTTGCTTTTTAAATTAATTCCTTGGAGGAAATTTTGCTTACTAGTTATGCTTGAGACTCTTAATTCCTTCCTTCCTTCCTTTCTTTCTTTTGACAATGTTTCCCTCTTTACCCAGGCTGGAATGCAGTGGCACCATCTAACCTCACTGCAACCTCCGCCTCCTGGGTTCAAGCGATTCTCCTGCCCCAGCCTCCCCAGTAGCTGGGGTTATGGGTGCCCATCACTGTGCCCAGCTAG